CAGGGGCCCAAGAACCTGGGCCATCCTCTACTGCTTTCCCAGTGCACTAGCAGAGAGCTGGATGGGAAGTGCAGCACCCTGGACTCAAACTGGCACCCATATGGGATGTTGGCACTGCAGACTGGGGCCTTAACCCACTAAGCCACAGCAGCGGCCTCACCAAGGAACTTTTTATATTGAATTCTTGGTATAGTTATGACCTGTCAACTTCCCTCATATTTCCCATTTCCTTGTGCTATTTCTCAACTTTTTTATATTTTCAATTGCATTTGGCAGAGGCAAGATACACTTTTTTGATATCCCAGAGCTCATTCTTGTTTTCTGTTCATAACATCTTTTTTCTTTAGGCATCTTTATTTGATGGAATAACTGCCTTTCTAAATTTAGTCTGAAATTAAATTTTTTTGTTCCAAATTTCTTTTTTTTTCTAAATATTTATTTATTTGAAAGGCAGAGTTACAGAGAGGCAGAGGCAGAGAGAGGGAGAGAGAGAGATCTTCCATCTGCTGGTTCACTCCCCAAATGGCTGCAACGGCTGGAGCTGGGCCGATCCGAAACCAGGAGCCAGGAGCTTCCTCCAGGTCTTCCACAAGGTGGGCCATCTTCTACAGATTTTCCAGGCCATAGCAGAGAGCTGGATTGGAAGTGGAGCAGCCGGGTCTCAAACCAGCGCCCATATGAGATGCCAGCACTACAGGTGGCGGCTTTACCCACTACGCCACAGCACCAGCCCCAAAATTGATCTTTTTCTGACTCCACTGCTTTATCTTATTCTTCATGTTGCCTATGTTCTTCATATAGCCTGATTCTTAATTATTGCTATCCATACATTTTTCTGGGAAGCTAGTATGGATTTTCTCTGGTTTTGTGTATATAGAAAAAAAATCCAAACAGTAAATTTTTTGGACACAGGAAGAATATTGTTGCCAAGGAAACCAAAGCAACTGTTGAGCAGCAAATCCACCTCTTTAAAAAAAAAAATCCATGGCAATTTATTCTGCAGAATAATATAACCTATTCCAGCTTTTCAAAAGCCAATAAAATGGCTTTAATGAGTTCTGGGAAACTTGGTTTATAGTGTCACTAATATTTATTAAAAGCTTGGTTTATAGGTCTTTTACAGCGTTGAGATGAGACGGAAAGTCAGACAAGCTAAGGTCTAGTCCCAGTTCACCATTTGAAAGCTGAACATCACCGAGCGAGTCATTTCCTTTTCTGAGCCTAAGTTTCTTTATTCACAGAATTGCTAGAAATGTAAAATAAAACTGAAAACACCTCACAAAGGCTGAAACACCACACAAATAAATTCAAGTAATAAGTGTTAACATGCTGCAAAATTAGTAAAATCATATGTACTCTGTATTCTTCATTGCCTAAGTATGAAATTAAGTGAAGTATTAGAAAAATGTGAACAAAATATTACAGAGACTAGTATAAAATTGGGTTAAAAGGTGGAGATCCAAGCTCTGGTTCAGGCTATTCAAGCAGATAATTTCTACAAAGTGAAATTGGACTAGACTATCTTTATCCAGGTGCTTCATGCCGCTTACGAAGCCAGCATTGCATATTGGAGAGCCAGTTCAAGTTCTGGCTGCTCCACTTCTGATCCAGCTCGTTGGCAATGCCTCTGGGAAAGCAGTGGAAGACGGCTCAGGTACCTGGGCTCCTGCTACCCACCTTGGAGACCTGGATAGATTTTCTGGCTCCTGGCTGTTGTGGTCATTTAGGACATGAACCAGTGGGTGGAAGATCTCTGTCTTTTAACTATACAGATGTTTGAAAATCTTTGGCTTAAACTGAAGTCTTTTATTCCCACTATCAGCTTTTCACTTTGCATTCCACTTTCTCAACTCAGACCTACATTCTGAGACCAAAGTACTCTACATGCTATTTCTTAACATGCAGTGGCCAATACTTGCCTCTACATTGTTGTCAAAACATAGGAAGTTCAACACTGTTGCTGCTTCAGCTGGCTCAGCGGCTAGGCCCTTTGTTCCAGCCCCACTCTTCATTTACCCACCCAAACTTTGTCAGTGTTTAATATCCTGGGTATAATGTTTTGTTTCAAACAGTTAAAATTGAGTGGCTCAGAAATACAGCATAGTTGTCATGTTAACTTTGACATAACACATGAATGCACTGAAAGAAGAACTAGGAAGGAAGTGAGAGCCTTAGCCCTAGAGCACAAAAGGCGGGGCACTGCCGTCTGTACAGTGCCCGGAGCAGGGACTCCCTGATCCATGGACTTGCTGGGTCCCAGCGAAGGACTGCTACCTCTTCCACAGAAAGCCACCCATGGGAACTACGTGGGGTACCCCAGGCTGCCCCGATACGTCAGTCCTCTGTCCTGTTGCCTTCTTTTCAACATTTAGAAACGTCCCTATTTATTCAAGGTTACTAGAGACAGACGAAAGCCTCTCTGTGACCTGGTCATCCCGTATCTTTCCCCAAATTTCTCTGTCAGTACCCTAAGCTATATCAGAATCAAATGTTCTCTAAAGTTTTTATCTCTCTGCCTGTCACAGTGCTCCTCTCCTCCTTACCAGGCCTAAATTTGACGAATTCTAGAAGATCAGAACAAATAACACTTTTTATGAAGAATTCTCAAAGTTTTCCAACCCATCAAAGCTAAAGTAATTTTGGTAATGACAGCGTCTAGTAAACTGTTCTAAGATCAACTTATAACTCATTACATGCATCCATCAGAGTAGGAAATGGCAGTTGTTCGGTGGGTTCCTTTTTTAACTAATACCTATTAACTGATTAATAGGTATTAATCAGTTGGTAAACTCAGTTTCTCTGTTTTAAGGCTACATGGCCTCTCAACAGGATTTCTGCACTCTAAATTTTAGTATCCATTTGTAAAAGGAGACACACCTTTGTTTCCCAATTAAAAGTATTTTCTCCCATTAAGAAAAGAATCAAGATAATAGTATTATTTTATTAATAAAATGTTTAAAAATTATTTTATTAATAAAATTTTCTTTTTCTAAATGCACACATAATTTGCTTCCTGCATTATATTTGAGTTTTTAACTTCTCTTCTATGTTCCATATCTATTTCCTCTTTCTTTCTCCCACAGGTTTTCAGCCAGTCTCTTGTACAGAGAGCACTTTAAACATAAATCAAGAATTCAAGAATTTCTCTTGGGGTCAGCGCTGTAGCATAGTGGGTAAAGCCACTGCCTGTGGCACTGGCATCCCATGTGGGCACCAGTTTGATTCCAGGCTGCTCCACTTCTGATCCAGCTGTCTGCTAATCTGCCTGGGAAATCAGCAGATGATAGCCCAGGTCTTTGGGCCTCTGCACCCACACAGGAGACTCAGGTGAAGCTCCTGGCTTCAGTTTGACCCAGCCCTGGCCATTGCGGCCACCTGGGGACTGGGCCAGCGGATGGAGGATCTCTGTCTCTCCCTCTTTCTGTAATTCTGCCTTTCAAATAAAAAAAAAAGAATTTCTCTTCCACTTTCAATGACAGCTCTCATTCTTTTTATTTGTATCCTATCTTCTCATAAAGTCTTCCGTGACCATCCCCACCCACAGGTCACTCTTGAGCTCCTATAAGAACTGACTTCCTAAAAACCGTTTAACTGCCATGAAAACAATTCTATTGCTATCTTTGTATGAGGTGCATTTTATAGTTTAAAAAATAGATTATCCCAACCTCAGCATAGCACAATTAATAAATATTAACTCAAGGGTGGGCATTTAATGTTGTGGTTGAGACATAGCTTGGGACACCCTCATCCCATTACTGGAGTGCTTGGGTTCAAGTCACTGCTCTGCTTCTAATTCCAGCTTCCTGCTAATGTGCACCCTGGGAGGCAGCAGGTGCTGGCTCAAGTTCTTGGGTCCCTGGACCCACATCGAAGAGCCAGATTGAGTTCTAGGCACCTGGCTTTGGCCTGAACCAGCCTCGGCTGTTGTAGGCATCTGGGTAGTAAACCAGCAGGTGGAAGATCTCTGTCTCTCTGCCTTTCAAATAGAATGAAAATCAATATTAACTCATTCAGCCAGGAGACTCAGTAGGAAAAGCACAGCCCAAACTGAGGCCTAAGAAGAGTCTGGTTACTCCAAGTGTGCGCCATAGACCAGCAGCATTGATATCACCTGGAAGCTCATCCTTAGGTGGAATCTCTGCCCCCCTTAGTCTCCTGAACCAGAATCTCCATTTTAAGATCCCCAGTGATCTGCAAGCGCTTGAAGGTTTAAGCACTGGTTTAGACTCGAGAGAAAGAATTGGAATATCCATGATGCATATGACCAAACAGCACTAAATACCTCGAGGCTTGGGCCAGCGCCGCGGCTCACTAGGCTAATCCTCCGCCTTGCGGCGCCGGCACACCAGGTTCTAGTCCCGGTTGGGGCGCCAGATTCTGTCCCGGTTGCCCCTCTTCCAGGCCAGCTCTCTGCTGTGGCCTGGGAGTGCAGTGGAGGATGGCCCAAGTGCTTGGGCCCTGCACCCCATGGGAGACCAGGAGAAGCACCTGGCTCCTGGCTTCAGATCAGCGCAGCTGCGCCAGCTGCAGTGGCCATTGGAGGGTGAACCAACGGCAAAGGAAGACCTTTCTCTGTCTCTTTCACTGTCCACTCTGCCTGTCAAAAAATATATATATATAAATATACCTCGAGGCTTGTTGAGGGGAGGAACCCTTTCTATCTTCTTCCCAAGCCTAGCAGCGCCTAAAACATTACTCCGGGCTCAGTATTTTTGGCTGAATCAATGAATGAACAAAGTGAAATTAAAACTTTTCCAAAAAGCTAATCCTTAGGGAAATTCTTTTGTATATTTTCATACCATGGCATGAACTCCCTAATTCGGTATTATTAACAATCTCAAAGGTGCCATCTTCTCTATTTTAGCAAATATATTTTATGTACTTGACAAAAGAAAAGCTTGGATTATCTTCCTCTGTTGGAGCCACCAGGGGCCTACCTCACAAGTGAGACTGCTGTTATTTTAATTCTGGCTTTCATAAATCCATCCCATATGCTTGGACAAGGCTTAATCACCACAACTTGAGGAGGTGGGAGAGCAGAGGAGGAATGGGCAAGGCAGAAACAATTCTGGATCAGGAGTCTCATGGCAAACGAGGAAAACACGATTCTGTGTTTTTGAACGGGATGCTTCCAGAAAAAAAACTGCGAGGATGGAGAAAGCAGAGGTAAGAGAACCCTGCCTCTCTCAAGAGCAAAAGATGGTATCAGAGAAAACCAGGGAGTGGTACAAGAGACTACCTAGCGACAGAAGGTGGAAACACAGGCGACCCGAGCCACGGTGGATAGCGGTCAGAGGCGCCCAAAGACCGGTGCCAGACACCACTTTCAGGCTTGCAGAGAAGGAAGTCAAGGCAAAAGGGGAAAGGAAACAGCTCCGTGAAGGGTAGAACTTGCAATGGTGAAGATTAATTTTTTTTTTTTTTTTTTGAGAAAGAGCGATAATGCACTTGGAGAGGGTGACGGGCGAGGGAGGGAGATTGCAACTGAGTGCCCTGCGACCGCAGAGAGGTCCTGCCCAGCCCTGACGACCAGAGGGAGGAGGCCCCCGCATAGGTGGGTGGCAACGCCCGGCTCCGCTGGCCCCAGCCGGGGGCCCGAGCCGTCTGCTCGCGAGCCTGCGGGGCGCTGGGTGGGCAGCGGAAAGCGCGGACTGGGCGCTGGAGGCCACGCGGGAGGAGGGGGCGGATGCCGCGCGGACAGGTACCCACCTTATCCCAACGGAGCCACTGCCCGATGGCCGTGTCTAGCTGAGGGTCCCCGGTGTGGTAGGGGGCGTGGAGCAGGTTGGAGTTCAGGTCCCCCTCGGCGTTTTCAGCCATGGCAACCAGACTGGGGTGCGCGGGCCTGAGGGGTCGGAGAAGCCAGCGAGTTGGGGGGCGCCTGGGTGCTGCTCACCAGGGTCTGGCCGCCCCCTCCTCACTGAAGGGCATCGGAGACCAGCAGCAGGGCGTTGGCGCCGGCTCCTGCCGCAGCTTTCGGGAACTGGGAAGGATACAGCCCCCCGCTCGCCAGGGAACGAGGTCCGGGTCTCCGGGCGAACTGACCGTGGCGGTCGCGCGGCGAGAGAACAACAACCGTCCCAGATGTCTGGGTCCTGGCGGCCGCCGCCGCCCTCGCCGTCCTCGGCCCCGCCCCCCGGGCCCGCCGGCTCCGCCCCTTCCCGCCCCTGCTGATTTAAGTTCTCGAGGGCTGAGGCGCGAGCCCGAGAGCGCGGTCCCGACACGCCCGCCGGGGTAGTGAGGGAAGGGTGCACGGCTCTTTATTTTTCAATTTGTTTTTCGCCAGGTTACTTCTCTTTGTCGCCATCGTACCCACTCCCAGGCGTCTCATTTCCTCAATCTGCCTTCACGGCCACCACCACAACCCGCCTTAGCGCTACCCTCGGCAGGTTCCCTGGGGCGCGCACACGCTCAGGCCCCAGCTTCGCCTCCGGGCACGCGCCAGGCGCGCGGCGGGAGCAGAGGCCCGCGGGCTGCCCGCGCACTGCCCCATGGGAGTTGTAGTTCTTTCCTTTTCCCCAAGTTCTGCGGAGACGGCGGCCAAGACTACGACTCCCAGCAGCCCCACCCAATTCTTTTCCTCAAAGAAAAAAGCGCTACCTCGAGGCTGTTCCCTGCGGACACGCCCTGTTCTGGTTAATTGTGCTGGGCTTTGTGGCCCTGGGATTAAATTAAAGGAATGACGAGAAAGAGTGCAGCTGGCATCCATTTAGTGCTTTATAGCTTCCGAGTCTCATTCTACGACTTCAACCATCCTGTGAGGAAGATGGGAATGAGCCGTTCCCATTTTGCACACATGGAGGGAAATGGACTTGTTTCTGAGAGGCGTGTTCCTGAGTGATGGAATCAGGGTTCCCACCTGGTCAGATCTCTGCTGGTGGTTCTCTTTGCTCTGCTGCTACAGTTGGTTAGGAAGTAGGAAAACAAGATGGCTGTGAGATTGTTTGAAATATGAGGGAAAATGTATAAGCGTTCTTATACAATGGCCGTAAGACTATGGAAGAAGAAATTGGTTCTCCCAAACAGAAATAATCTTCCGTTTCTTAGTCTCTTCTGTCTTACGGTGTGTTTACCGTTCAAGTCCCCAAGGAGGTCTGAAAAGTGCTTACCTGTTAGCTACCCAGCTGTTCCCGAATTTCTTGGTTTGGTCTGGTTTGATGGCTGATTTCGACCAGTTATCTTGTAACTCTTTCTCTAGCCAGAGTTATGTAAAGATTCTTGCAAGGAAGGCATAATAACAATTACAGAAGCTTAATGAATGCCTTTAGGGTGCTTTGAGGTTGATAAAAAACAAATTCAGAGAATTGCCATCTTAAAGTGCCATTTATCATAATGAAATCTAAACTACCAAGGTACAAAAGGACGGTGGTGCCAATACCTGAAAAATAATGGGCCATAGTTGGGAGTTGTGGTTTTCCCTAAGTAATTGTTTTTTATGAAATCAGTAGGTTCTCTAAATCAAAAGCCTGAGGAACAACCATGTGTCCTGGAGAGAAATTCATCTTCCAGTGTCATCACCATTAAGGTCCATAACAAGTGTTAAACATTTACTCCATGCCAGGCATTATTCTGTAGCTGACGTTACAAGACTGTACATAGTTGTTTGTTTCAAGAAATAAAAATCAGTCTGAGGAGAAAGGGTATGTGCAGAAAGAGACAGTCTGTGATAAATATTAAATGCTTGCTTCCAACAACTGTTAATGAATTTAAGTCTGAGATGGTCAATAAAAGCATCAATCAGGAGGAAGCTGCACTAGGCTTTGAGGAAAAACAGTGAAGAAGCTGGAAAAAAGAGGACATTCTAAATGCATGTAGACTGGCATTTCTCAACTATCTTTAGGACTTTGTGAAATGTATAATCCTGGACACGTCTCCCAAGAGATTCTGAGTCGGTACATTGAGAGAGGGTACTTGCACATTTAAAATATCGATTGAGTGAGACATAAATGGCCATAATATTGCAACTCAAAGAGCTATCAGAAGACTGATGTGTTGACATCATCTGGAGGCTTATTAGTTAGTACAAACTACATGTCAGAACCCACCCCACTTCTCCTGGATCAGAATCTACATTTTAATAATATCCAATGACTGATATTAAATTTGATAAGCAGTGGGTTTTATAAGACAATTCCTATTCAGTTCAATCCTGAGAAATACTATCAAATCAATAGACCTTGCAAGAGATAGAATCATATAGGGTAAGTATAGAAGATAGGAGAAACATAAGCATTAGTTCAATGCCAGAGTCACCAGCCCTCACTTTTATCAGCAAGATCATAGCAGACATTTATTGGTTACCAGAAATGTTGCCCAAAAGATAAGACTTATTGCTTTGGCATTGAAGGATACCCAAACAGACGCAGAACTTGTCAAGTACAAGAACAATATCTAAGTACATTCAGAAGAGAGAGGAATTAGTTTCCTTAGGGGAAGCTCAGAAGCTTTCATTTCTGTTGGAATTTGCTCGGGATATCCTGTAATTTTATTGGCTTCATCTAGCAAGTTTAACTGTGGTTATGAAAAAGAATATCATTCTTGATCTGTGTGTTTGGGTGTGTGTACTTCAAAAAGTAAACAGAAAAATGAAATTAAAAGAAATATTTTATTTCTTAACATACACTCTATGCATTTCAAGACACTTTTGTAAGCAAAGATACCAGCATACCAGCCATGTAGTCCATTCCTAAAGGATTGAGAGTCCTAGGAATTTAACTATTTCAGTGCACTCTTTTTTACATTATTAACTGAAGGAAAATATGGAGATCTTTAGAGAGTTTTTTTGTTTGTTTGTTTGTTTGTTTGTTTTGACAGGCAGAGTGGACAGTGAGAGAGAGAGACAGAGAGAAAGGTCTTCCTTTTGCCTTTGGTTCACCCTCCAATGGCCACCGCGGCCGGCGCGCTGCAGCCAGTGCACTGTGCTGATCCGAAGGCAGGAACCAGGTGCTTCTCGTGGTCTCCCATGAGATGCAGGGCCCAAGCACTTGGGCCATCCTCCACTGCACTCCCTGGCCACAGCAGAGAGCTGGCCTGGAAGAGGGGCAGCCGGGACAGAATCCGGCGCCCCGACCGGGACTAGAACCCGGTGTGCCGGCGCCGCAAGGTGGAGGATTAGCCTAGTGAGCCGCGGTGCCGGCCCTTTAGAGAGTTTTTTTAAGATAAGGAAACAAAAGAATATACAAAGTCAAATCAGGACTATGAGACAGATGCCTAATGATTTCCCATCAAAATTCTTGGAAAATTCTCCTTGTTGGATGAGAGGAATGAGCAGGAGCATTGTTGTGGTGGAGAAGGATTCTTTGGTGAAGTTTCTCTCAGTATTTTTCTGCCAAGCCTTCAGTTAACTTTCTCAGAATACTCTCATTATAAGCAGATTTTTATTGTTCTTTGGTCCTCCAAAAAAATCAACAAAATCATCCCCCTCCAAACAAAGCCAAAAAAATTGAAACAAAAACAAAACCCAACAACCTGTTTCCATGATCTTTGCTCTTGATCTTTGTACTTTTGCTTTGACTGGACCACTTTCTCCTCTTGGTAGCCGTTATTTTGTTTGCGCTTGTCTTCAGTGTTATACTGGTAAAGCTACATTTCATCTTCTGTGACATTTCTTTAAAGGAATGCTTCAGGATCATGGTCCCATTTGTTTGAAATTTCCAGCGAAAGCTCTGCTCTTATCTACTGCTCTGGGCACAACAATTCTGGCACCCATCAAGCAGAAAATTTGTTCCACTTAAATTTTTCACTCAGAATTGTATAAGCTGAACCAATTGGTTTGTCTATGGTGTTTGTTATTCTTTCTACTGGTATTTGTCTTTTCAACTTGGCATGAACAAGATTTAAATTTTTCTTCTCAAATTAATGCGGGTTGTCTGTCATTGCAAACCCCATCTTCAACATTGTCTCACCTCTCTCTCTCTCTCTCTGATTTATTTATTTAGTTAGTTATTTGAAAGTAAGAGTTATAGAGAGGGAGAGGTAGGGGAGAGAGAGAGAGAGAGAGAAAGAGAGAGAGAGAGCGAGCGAGAGAGAGAGCATGCGCACGAGGGGTCTTCCACCCACTGATTCATTCCCCAAATAGCTGCAATGGTTGGGGCTGGGCAGTCCAAAGCCAGGAACCAGGAACTCCAAGAGCCTAAGCACCTGGGCTATCTTCTACTGTTTTTCCATGTGCGTTAGCAGGGAGCTTGATCAGAGTGGAATAGCCAGGACTCAAATCAGCACCCATATGAGATGCCAATGCTGCAGGCAGTGGCTTTACCTGCTATGCCATAGCATCAGCCTCATCTCCTATCTTCTTTAAATTTGTAAAATCCAACTTTTTTGGGACATTGTCCCCATAAACTATTTATAAAGCATCAGTGATTTTACTATTCCTCCAACCATTCTTCACCATAAATTTGATGTTTGCTCTTGCCTCAATCTTAGCAGAATTCATGTTGTTCTAATAGAGCTCTTTTCAAATGACGTCTTCTCCTTCTTAGTGGCTCAAACAAGATCCTGTTTAAACATTTTACAACAAGTTAGTATGAGTTTATTTAGGCAAGAAAATTTAGAAATCCATGCATAGTTTTTTCATAATATGCACTTTCCATGAACTTTTTGAAGACTTCTCATATATGCATGCATGAAATATATTCTATACAATATTGTATCTCATAGAATTATAACATGTGAAATAATAAGAGTATATATTGTTATTAAATATAGTATTTAATAAATATAGTATTTAATATATGTATATAATATAGTAAATATAGTATAGTCATACATGGCCTAAGACAGGATATATTCTGAGAAATGCATTCTGATGTTATGGTTTGGATAAGTTTGGATGTCTGTCCCCGAAACGCCCATTTGTTGAGGGCTTATGTTGATGACTATGGATTAATATTAATGAATTAATGATAGAGGTTTGATCTAATTATTGTATCCAGGAGGTAAGCTCAATGGGAGGTCTTTAGGTCATTACTACTTGGAAGGTAGTTCACATGAGAGAGTTGCTAAATGAAACCAGCCCCACTGTCTCCCTCTGCCACCTGGCTCACCATGCGATTATTTCTCTACCATCCTCCAGCCTCAGCAACTTCCTGAACCAACTGGAGCAGCCTTATCTTGGACTGTGAACCTCCAAATGATAAGGCTAAAAAA